TCAGTGTAGTGGTGGGAAACACGGGAGCGTCTCGGGGTCCCAATTACAAATCTTACGAAGCTATTCATAAGTCTTTTGAGTCTATCACGGAGTTCCACCGAGAGGCCATCGTAAACCACACAGCTGTAGTCAAAGTGGGGAAAGATGAGAGAGGAAACTAGGAGTCTACGGGTATTTTGGGGTAGAAGATGTCGGAAGTGATGCAATAGTTTGAGGGTAGTAATTGCACGGCGGGATATATGAGAGATATGGTGATTCCAGGAAAGGGTTTGATCTATGAGAAAGCCTAAATTTTTAACAAAGGGATAGAAGGTGATGGGGTGGTTGTTTAGATAGAGTGAGAGAAAGTTGGTATTATGCTATCATACTCTGCTTTAAAGTCAATGAAAAGATGGTGAATTTTGGTTTTGTACTCATGGCCTCTTTTAAGAATGGTTCGCACTCAGAACATCTGGTCTGAGGTAAATCTTCCTTTCCTAAATCCACTCTGGTACGGACTGATTTCACACTCAGCATATCGTTAGATACGTACAAACAGGATATGAGATAGCATCTTAAAGGAACAAGACAGTAGCGAAATATCTCGATAATTACTGTACAACAACCTATCGCCCTTTATATGTATAGGACAGATAATTGACCTATTCCTCATTACCTCATCTGTCTATATTACAAGGAGGAGATCCTATAGTGCTTTGGTAAGCTCATGGGAACTTAGTATTATATAAAAAAAACAATATACAATAAACTAAATAAATAAATAAAACGACATGTTATGTGCTGTACACTGGAAGCAAGAGTCCGTTCATAAATTTGCTGCCGAGGTAAACCGTGCAGCCCACCAAGATGGGCCTAGGTTCATTGACAAAGGTTGAGCCACAACGTAAAGGAAATAAAAGTGTATCTCGTATCTCACAGATATACGAGTCACAAAAAATGATTCAGAAGGTGTGAATAGATATTTGAGCATGAACCATTCCTCCGGGATAAGAGCTTGGGTAAACAAAAGATGAGGTCCCACAGGAACAAAAATCCGCGATTTTGGTTCGGAAACCAGCCAGGTGACGTGTTCACGAAACGAAAATGACGAACACAAAAATAATCCATACACATGGATAGATATTTGGTCCGAATCAATTCTCCTGGAAGAGAGTTTCGGTAACGACAGCTAAGACCCTACGGAATCTAAAATTCGCAAAATATGGGATCGATAACCCGCTAGATTGGGTCAATGATGTTAGTACCGATTGTGATGAAGGTCGCCTCCATGAAGGTGGCAGACATTATAATGTCGACGAGGTGCTACGGACGAGGAGCGGTTGAGATTACAATTTACGATTGATTCCCTTCCGGGTGGTGTTCCGACGTATCTGCGATCAGCGGGGCGAGCATACGTTTGAATAAAAATTTTGCCGCTACCTACCCTTTCTGGATGCCCATAGCTCGCGGGCCCGGACTTCTTTGGTGAGTCTGGCGCGTCCTTAACGAGAAGAGAAACGCCGGTTATAAGTGGTTTGTCGGTGTGAGTTTTCATACAATAAGTGTGGCCGTCAAAATCGCCTGATTTCACAGAAGATTTCTCGGTTTCGATACAGGAGCGATTTTCATTATGTAGTACACTGGTGCTTCTCGCCACACCACATACAGGCAAACGAAGACCGACATACCAAAATTCGATGGCCCAAAATCGCCACAGCCGCGTACACAGCCCAGTCGACTACAAAATTACAGTGCCCATCGATAGCTAGTGCCAGAAACTTAAAACACCTCACCAGTGGATACCTTCCTTTGCAGTGTGGGCAGGGATCGTTAATGGGAGATGTAGAATTTCTCTGCGGAGACTCCTTATGTTACCATTGGCGTATGGACTCACTCTCACAGTCTTTAACCGAAACCGTTCGCTTGAATGGAGAGATAAATAGAGGACCAGCTTTCCTTCTATTCGATTGCTGGGAGTCAGACGGCACCGTATTAAATTCTTGTGCACATCTTACAAGACATCATCCTAGGCCTCATGAAAGTGACTACCTGATCCGCGGTAGGGAACTTGCTGCTCGCGTGTGAGGGTTCGAATTGCCGTCTAGTGGCTGGTTCTAACCTGCGGAAGCCCTTGATCATTTTCCCACAGGTGCGACGAAAGCCCAATGTTTCGCGTATTAACTACCGGAAGCAGGGCCCGTGTGATTCAGAATTTGTTGGTGGCAACGTGCAGACAATGCGCAGGTTGTTGTACTACTGCATGAGAGCTTCCCAGGCTAGCTGGTAAGAGCTGAAGTCAAAGGTGAACGCCGAGATGATCGAGGACGGCTCGCCGATAAGCGCATTTTTTATGTAGTTCATTTTGCTTATCGGTGACAAAGTGTTATCGTGAATTAAGGGTACGAAAGTATCGCGAAAGCGTGTGCAAGTGGACAAGTCCCCATTGAAAACTGGCACGTCGATTATCAAGAATTGATGCGGAAACATCAGAGGGGTTGAGCCAGACTTGGCGTTATTAGCAACCGCATTGCGACGCGAATTTAATTTGCAATAACACGCCTTGGGAAACGTAGAATGCATCCAATTCTTTCCACAAGTTTTTGAATTTGACCCTCATAAGCTTGCCCTCCTCATAAGTGACTTTGTACACGAAGAAATCGTCTTTGTCGATATCCACGGCTTGGGGAAATAATTTTTGAAAGTTATGATTTAGATGTTGAATTTTACGTTCAAGGGCGTCACTGTGACAGGATAAATCGTTAATGTTTCCTTTGCCTCAAACCATGGTTTTAAATATTTTACTTAAATGTAAATAATCAAAAATAAAAATAAAAATCACAGCTCACCTAATTAGGACGACGATAGAAACATAACGTATCCAAGTTCGCAATTCGGAGCAAATCCAAATTTTAGATGAAGAATTTGTGAAAATGCTAATCTAAATAATTTTTAAAAAGGAAGTTCAAGAAATATAAATCTAATGAATGAATAGTTATGTATATAAACAATTAATATATAGTTAATAAAAATATAGATACAATAATAATTTAAGCAGGCGTGAAAGTAAGCAATAAACATAATGATAAATATATATGTATATAATGCATCAAAAATATACAGGGTGTCACTTAAGTAGAGGGAAATATTTAGAAGGTTGATAGTATACATCAAAATCAACAAAAAAATTCATATAAACAATTGCCCAATTTTCAGCAGAAAAGAAGGAAATTTAAGATTTGTGATTTTTTAAGCGAGTTTCATTTTTTGTTGAATAGGAAGCAATAGCTTAAAAAATATTTGATTTAAGTAATTAAACATCATTTCTTACTAAACTATATAAAATTTACTTTAAACGAAAGTAGAGTTTGTCATTGTTAAACCTATTTAAAAAGAACTATTGGGCGGGCAAGCACAGCTATGTCCAGTTTAAAATAAAGTCATAAATTATCTGTGATTTTTTTTTTTGTGATATGGTATATATTGTAATAGACATAATTGCCTAAAACACAATTGTGACTCGCTTGAAAAATACAAATCTTAAATTTCCTACTTTTCTGCTGGAAATTTGGGAATTGTTTATATGAATTTTTTTGTAGATCTTGATGTCTACTATCAACCTTTTAAATATTTACCTCTACTTACGGGACATCCTGTATATAAAAGAGAGAGAGAGAGAGAGAAAAAAACATACACACGCTTAACACCAATAAGTATTTAAAATTATCCCAACAATTAATATGCGTATAAATAAATTTGAATACAATTCTTTGTACGTACATGAGCATAAATATGGCAAACAATTTAATGAATGAAAGATTAAATAAAAATTCATATACGCTTAAATTTAAATTTAGATACCAATTGAAATAGTTAAATAAAAATGAGATCATGCGAGATACATTTAAGCTGAAAGCTGTGTATTGTAAATTATCAATTAATTCTAATTATAAGCGAGATCTTGAAACAAACCACATAAAGTCCCATAAATATGCTATCGTATAGTCTGGGGTAATTTTTATAAACAGTGTGATCAAATGTAATATTTTTTACACATAACCAAAAATGAGCAAAAGGTTCACTAGTTAAACAAGTATAAGATTAATACCACTTATGTTACTCAGAAGACATATCATATTTTGAATGTTTTTAAAATGCAATTCTTTATTTATTATATTATATTTTATTTAATTTAAAAACTGATTAGTCCATAGTTATAGACATCATGTAACGTTAGGAGTGTATATAGTATGAGACCATACTCCCCACTTTACCAACTGTAAAAAAATTACCTATTGCTAATAAACCCATATGTGGCTCACTAAGCCGAGCTGGAAATAATAAAGAAAAATATGCAATTGAATGGCTGTTAATTCTATTCGATGCAGTGACTTATATATACATAATAAATCAAACACAAATTATTTTAACACAGACGATATGGTAGCTAATCTCAAATAGGTCTGAGGAATGACAATAGATTTAAGATGAGGATTGCTGCTTCATCACCTTTTCTTATTTTTTTATAACGAATATTTTAGTATTGTTTGTTTAACATATATTCCTTTTAATACCTGTATGTTATTACGATAAGCAGAGTTTTATAAGAAAATAAAACTTACTTTTAATAAAATTTTCTGTTGGTTATGGATAATACCAATTTGGAATAATTTTTCAGTTTGAATAAGGAGGTTCTCAGTTTTAATTGTCGACACTAACATAATAGATTTTCCTTCTGATGTCTTTTTAAAAATTACAATATATGGAAAACATTCGGTAGGCCAGAGAAAGAAACTAAGTTGTTAATAATTGACTTGTGAAATGAGTTATTATTTGTTCCAACCAATTCTTATTTTTGTAACTATTATTAAATTTTTATTGACTTTAAAAATTAATAAACCCCTAAAATATGAGATAATATTTTATATATTACCATTAAATAACTATCCTTTAACTAAATTAATTCGTGATCATGTTACCTTTGGTTATTTATATGTAGGTTTCATTAATGGTTTCATAACCTTTTGTTTGGGTTTCTGTTTTGTTTTCGTTTATTTTAAATTTTTAAAAAGAAAAAAAAAACTAATAAAATAAGTAAAAATGGATTACGGAGAGCTTCTTTACAAAGCCCAAGAAATTACTAAAAGTTCTTCGAAGAAAGAAGTAAGTTTTTGAAATATGTATTAAGTAATTTTAATTCTTAGTTCTTGAAATCGGTATGTGCAGTATGACAGTAATATTAAATAGGGATTTTTCAGTTTTATAGTACATTTGTTTTTTTTTTGTTATAGTTTCTTTTTAATTGCTTATAATTTTCCTTCCATATGCTTATTTCGGTTTATGTATTGATGTGAATATTTTTTGTGATTTAGGGCAATGGCACATGACTAAGTATATGTACCTAAATTTACAAACTCTCAACCAGATAAATAAATTGCTAGTAATATATTTTTCAATACTGAATGGTTTATTTCGTATTCTGTCTTTTAATTTGAAAATTTTAAAATATATATTTTTTATCTTCACCGTTTAATTTCAACCAATTCCTCTATGTATTTTGTAAAATGGAAATAAAAATATTGTTACTTAACAATGTTTTTCAGTAGATTTTATGTTTATTTTTAAAAAATATAAACCTCTATCATTTAGCCATTTCATCTATTAGTGATTGAAAATTAAAGTTTAAATTGCTTATACGATTTGAGTAAACGTTGGTTTTTAGATTTATTTTAATTAATTTAATTATATCTTGTGGTAGTTTCAATTTTTCTTTCAAGGATTACTTGATATAATTTTCTTTAAAATTTGATTGCATTAATTCATATACTGTTATGACTAGTGAACCCTATGATAGATTTTCTATCAGACCCATTAAATTTTATCATTAATAGAGCTGTATTATTTAGAATAATTAATAAATAACTGATTGTGGTTGCTTAATTATTAATTCTGGAGTGCAATGTAGTGTAGATTCATATTTAATTGCACTCTTATAAAGTTACTTTCTTAAAAAAATTAACATACATTTTATTTCTGTTCATTTAAGGATTATTTGATTTGTTTTTCTTTCTTTCATAGTTTTCACATTTAACCTTGTACCATTTAGTATAAGACTTTTTTGAATCAATGATTAATTTATATTGAATTTGTTATGTTGAAATATGCTTATAAGTTTAAAATTATTTATATTATTATATGCTTGTAGGTCAGATGTTATAAAACAGAGTTTGCTCCTCCTAAAAAGTTGGAAAGATCCAAAGTTTCTTCAGAAAACATAAAAAAATTTCTGGCTCGTAAAGAAGCAGAAGAAAAAAAGAAACGAGAGGATGCTCTAAAGAAAAAAGAGGTAATTTAATATATCTATTTTTTAAGGACTTATGCATTTTGTTCAGAAATAATAGACATTTGCACTGTATCTAAAGTCGTAGTGGAAGAGATTTCTGTTTTCTATCCGTATTAGAATACCTAGATCATGGTATACTTTTTGTATCTTCTCTTCGTCATCTGAGAGTGCGTCAGATATGTTGGAAGGTATATTATGTTTTATTCTGGTGTCAGAATATAGTCTGCAAGTTCTTTCAGTGTAAGTGATGTGTTGCATGGTTGGTGTTGCATTGTTTTACAAAATGATGGTTCCAGGCCTCTCATTAGGTAGCCAAGGGTAAAGGCTGCATGTCCAATTCTAAGTCGAGTTAAAATTATTTCCTCTGTTCTGTTCTTTATGAAAGAGGTTGTCCATGATTGGATATCTTTTTTAATTTTTTGCAATTTGTTTATAGATTGGTTCTACTTTATTTGCCATTTTTCATTTAGCATTTGTTTGCATTCCAATCTCCAGTCACTTATTTTTCCTGCTACATTTCGGCTCCCCCAGTGGCCCCTGTGGACAGGATTAGCTGAAATTTAGTATATTCAGTTGCAATGTAATGTTTTTCTCTTCATACAGCTTCTAGTAATACTATTGAATAAAAATGACAGTTTTTATAGTGTTTCTGAATCATGTACTATTGAAGAGATAGAATAGATCTGGTATAATGAAGAGAGGAATAGTTGGGGTGATCAGTCGAATAAGAAGGCAAAAATAAATGGTAATATTTATTTTGACATTTGCTGACGTTTCGACCTGAGGTTCAGGCCTTCATCAGGGCTAAGAAAAGAACCAGATAACAAGATTTTCTTAGCCCTGATGAAGGCCTGAACTTCAGGTCGAAACATCGGCAAATATCAAAATAAATATTACCATTTATTTTTGCCTTCTTATTTGACTGATCACCCCAACTATTCCTCTCTTCATTATTCACGACATTCAACCATTTACCCACAATTATAGATCTGGTATAGCTAAATGGTGATATTGATTTAAAATTCAAGTATCATGGCTTCAAATTTGGGCCCTTAATATTAGGGATCATCCAATACCGATATTAATATCGGCCATATCGACCTTTAGGCCAATTATCAGCATTGGCCGATATCAAAGGCTGATATGCTGTTCTATATCGGCCTTATGACTTTATTTTATTGAAATTGGTGAATTTTCACTTAGGATATTATTTTTTTGCTAGTAAATATTTCTATCTATCGTCAAGGGATCGATATATGCATAAATTTTAACAGAAACAGATATTCCAAAGACCGATACATCGGCCTTATGATCTTATTTTATTCTATATTTATGTATATGTCGATCCCTTGACAATTAATTGCTTATAAACTTATATTCTTATAAAATTTTATTCTTATTGCTTATAAATGGGTGTTTATAAGCAATAAGAATAATATCACAAGTGAAACTAGGTAATATAAGATCATAATGTGGATATATCGGTCTTTGGAATATTATTTTATGCTCAAATTTATGTACCAATATATCAATCTTGGGAATAATTCTATTGGTAGATCATTAGAGTGTATATATATTATTATTATTATATATTATTAATGTATATAAATTATTAGATCATTCCTAATTATTTTTACTTACATTTTATAATTTTTTTTATCAATTGATTAAAGTTAGAAAGTAACTGATACTTTTTTATTAGGACTGTTTGTTTACTTGGTGAGTATTGTATATGTATGTCTAAGATTCCTTAGCCCACATTTCTGTACTTTTGTATTATTTTAAAGGTACTCATCCCAGAGTAAATAAAGTATTATTATTATTTTTATTTATTTGTCAACACTTTTACAAAAGGTTACTTGAGAGGGGGAGAATCAACTCCAACCATCTCAGGTATGTTCTATTTTAATTTCTATTGGATGTTGAGAAAGCTTCTTACAACTACTGCTTTCTGAGCTTCATTTATTACATGAGTTGGGAGGCCCAGTCTGTTAGTAGCTTCCACAGTAGACACCGGTATCAGGCCATTGCTGGAGATCACAATGCCCCTAATGGTTACTTTATTAAGTTTAAACAAACTTTTTAACTCAGCTGCTAAGCCTTGATACTTCCGAATTTTTTCTGCACAGACTGAGTTAATGTTTCTGTCGTTTGGCAATATCACAACAATATCTATAATCTCCGCTACCTTAATATTACCGTCAATTAACACAATATCTGATCTGTTGTGAGTCATGAGATGATCTGTTATAAATGATTGATTCCAATATAATTTTATACCATCTTTCTGGCAGAGACCTTTAGTGCTCTATTTATGTTAAAGCACCGAATCGTTTAATAATTTACTTTTTATACTAATCACCTGGTGATAGACTTTAGCAACATTGCCATGTCTTTTTAGGTATTCTGTACCTGCAAGAGCTCCGCAGCCCCCAGTTATGTGTTGAATAGATTCATCTGTGCTTGCACAGAGCCTACATTTGTCCGATACATTCTGTTGCTTCAATACATGTCGCCAGTAGGATCTGGTAGCTATAACCTGGTCCTGGATTGCAGTTAAAAACCTTCAGTCTTGGAGAACAGACTTCCTCCAACCAGCCAGCTGATGGACAAAGATTTATCTATTTCTGTCTGCTGAAACTGGTGAAAAAACCTTCCAATGCTTTTGACTTCCACTCTTCCAGTTGTTCTTTATCAGTAATAAAGATTGGCGCAGTTTCATGAAAGGCTAATTGTAGAGCAGTGTGTGTGTCCGCGATTGAGATATCTGATTATCTTATGGCATGTCACTGCGCTTTGTTTGAAGTACTCCCTTATGTTCTTTTCTTGACTTCAACAAGACTCTTCTATATTAGTAAGACCTCTCCCTCCTTCTTTTTTTGGCAGGTAAAGTCTTGCCATAGATGCAGTCAGGTGGTGTATTCTGGAACCCGTCATACTTGTTCTTATTAACCTATCCAATTCCTGGAGTGATGTTGTGGACCATTTTAGAACTCCAAAGCTATAAGATAAGGAAAGAATAATCCATGTATTTATAGCTTTTATCATTAATCCTGAAGAAAGGTATGTTCTTAGGATAATCTTTAGTCTTTTTTTAAATGAAGCTATCAATTTATATTTTACATCCTTTCTAGCTATTTTTGAATGCTGTTTTATTCCTAGACATTTATATATATCTTCTTTCTGAAGGTTCGGAATATGATATTCTTCATTAAACAAGTTTTCAGAATTATTTGGCTTTCCTTTTATAACGTGAAGAACTGCTTATTTCCCAATCCCAAATGACATCTGTGTGGAGTCACTAAAGTGGGTAACTGTCTTTAGCATAGACTGTAGCTGGGATTTATTCTTTGCGTAGAGTTTTAAATTTCCATATAAAAGCTATGGCACTTAATTCATTAAATTTTACTAGGCTTCACGCTCCGCTTTCTTCACGATTTAATAAAATTGACAAAGGAGCCGTCAAAGACAAAATCAATGGGGGCTGAGGCAGTCTCCCTGGTATATACCTCTTGAAATGGTAATGTATTCAGGTGATTGCTTTTCTCCCATTCTCAGTCTTGTTTTCCAGTTGTTCATCAATTTCTTCAAAAGTTCTTTAATAAATGGATGAATTTTATATAAATCCAGAACTTTTTAAAGCCAACTATGAGGAACTGAGTCAAATGATTTTTTATAATCAACCCAGGCTATTGACAAATTTCTTTTATTCATGGTCGTTTGGCCTGCAATTAATTATTATTATTTTTATTATTATTATTACTGTATTATGTATATTTTTTAGGAACTTCTCGCTTTGAGAAGTCAAGATAAAAAAGCTCAAAGAAGGGTTCAAGTAATGCTAAAATCCACCAAGTCAGCTAATAAATCAGTAATGGAGGATGCAATAGATAATGTTAATACAGCTGTTACTTTAGGAGGTTAGTATCTTGTAATTATTATAATAAATTAGTATAGTTGAGATATTTACAGTAATTTCTATAAATTCATTGTGTTGTATTTTCCCTAAAAATAAATAGCTTTTGCACTTCATCAAATGTCATCAAAGGCGGGTGACTTGCAATCAGTTTTATAATCCTGAAAACATGGTTTTACGGGTTTTGTGGATGTATTTTTCGGCTTAATATCATATACTTTTTTAAAAATAATTTTCTCGTAGGACTGATTTTCTCTGTTTCTTAGCTATCCTCTCAAAGCTGCTACTCACAGAATGTGATATGTCCCAGTGACAGCGATAATGGAATACAATGTAATACAGCTATATCACCAGATTGCCACAGATATCATATCACATTCTGTAGGCACGAGTCTTTAATAGCCTCTTAATTCTTATTGAAACTTGTGTATCATCTGTATGTCCTAGGAGCTTATTATAATGAAGTATAATTTGTATAATGAATACAAAGTACTGTATATTCTGATTGGTTTCTGCCTTTATTGTGGATCATAAACAATCTGCCATATTTAAGGACTATAATTAACCATTAATTGACATTGAACTCATATATGAGTCAAGACGGAATCTGGCCCAGTATGGCGATGGTGGGCTCATATGCAAGTCGAGAGCTCGTCAGCCACTTCTCCTTTAATTGACAGGCTGCTCAGTGATGAATTATATTTTTTAACTATTTCGTGGCCTTTCTATCAATTGTATAGAAGTTAAAAAAATAATAAAATAAAATAAAAACTTTGAAACAGTATCCAAAATGAAAAGACTAAGGTGATGAGAGGGAAGTATTCTGTCACAGGAGCACAGAGAACTGTTTGCTAGTGTCGTCCTCAAGACTGCTCCCACCTTTCCACCCATCATCGCTAAAAGGTTAATAGTAATCTTTATGACTATCCATACTATATTTGCAGTTTTAAAAGAAATTAATTTATTCGTAACAAATAAATAGATAAGCAAAATATAATGATCTTATTAAACTGAAAAAAAAGTTAATTAAAATAACATAATAATTTACATACTTTTGTACTACACATTCAACCTGGAAAACTGAACTGTACTCCAAGTCTGTCCCTTTAATACAGTAATGGTTTAAAATAAATGACATTGTTTAATCTATTCTACTGCAAGAAGTATAATTGCTGATTATACGTAGCCGTTTACTGTTAATACTTTGAGATTCTTGTACAATATTTTATGTGCATTTGATTTTATTAATCCTTTTTGGCATCATATTAATCCTATTTTTCATCATTTTAATCCTCTTTGAATAAATATTGATTGTTTTTTAAAATTACCTATTTTATAGTCTTATTTTTGTATTTATTTTAAATATTTATATTAATGTATTGTCAATTATTTCAGGATTTAAGCAATGTGATGAAGATGATTATGGGTATGTTTCTCAAGAAGCGTCTGCTTTCTATAACAAATTACTCAACAAATATGAAAAAATGCCAAATGAACCTTCAATATTTTCTAAACCTAAGAAGGAAGTTAAAGATTTAAATGCTGCTAAGGTTAATATTTTTAATAATTTTACTCTATTAATTTGTCTTTATTTTCTATTTTGTAAGCTAAAACAGGTTAAGTATGAATTATCTTGCTCCAATTCCCTAAAGCAGGAGTTCCCAACCTAAAGCTGGTGATGTCACTCTTGACCATGAGTGTGCCTGTCTATCTCTAACCTTTATCAGCCATCGCTTTGGCTACAGTTTTACTGTTGTCTGCTGCAGATCTATTAAAATGTTGAATATTTATTTTAATAAATATCTAATAATTAATTGCAAGTGTGAATGATCACTCTGAAAGTAGTAATTTATATTGTATTTTTTTAAATAATCATGATTGTTTCACCTGGCATGCTGCAGGTAGATGAGTTTCCAATTCAATAGTTTTATAATTCCTTTCTTAAATGCATGAATATTTAAAAATCTAACAAGAGTTTATAGCTATAAAATTCAAAAATAATAATTATTTAAAAATAATAATTCATGTATGGATATAATATTATTACTATTGATTTGAATAATCTCTTTCTTTGAATATTCTCTTGCAAAAAAAAAATATGAACGAAACTGTTGGTAGCACTGCATTTAACTTATTTTATAACTAAGTATAACCCATATCACTTTTAATTATTTTCAAAACGTGTTAATTTAATTTAATATAAGAAAACTGTATAAAATTAATTACATTCATTGCACTTGCTGTTTAAGTAAACTTATCTGAGGCTCTAAATATGATATGTTTGGTTGGGGTGCCATCCTGGGGTCTGCTGATTTGTCATCTAGTCCAGTGAAATCCAAGGTCCAAGAAGGTGCCAAGAAGCCCACATCCCTGGTCAGTATAGGCCAAGCTACAACCTTAGTCTCTATAGCAGGAAGAAGGCATAAGACCTAGTCCCTTTACTGCTAGGTGATTTTATTCCAAAATTCAGGGTGGGGCAAGGATGGTTCTCATTGGCTTTCAAGTTTTGTGAGTGTAAAATTATTTTAACTGACCACACCATAAAGGGGACTAGTTACTTAACCCTGTTACTTTGACCAGTTACCAGTTACTAGCACTCTTGAGAAAAGGTCCTCCCAGGTAAGTGTTACTCCACTTTGGCGTTGTCTTTGATGTCGGCAGAAGTGTTTGATGTCGTCTTCTTTTAACAGACCTTTTTTTTTTTTGTTTCCGTTGCCGAAACCTGAGTTAAGTTTAAAACATTATTTGCTTTGTTCAATACATAAAACAAACATATTAATATATAAAACAAACATCGGAAACTAGAATAACATAAGTAAACCGGAATAGTCTCTAGGGGTACTTAGAGAGAGTTATTTTAGATACATTTCGTGAACAGTCTGATTGGGAAAGGAGCTGGTGTTTAAAGAGGAAAAGTTTGAAAGAGGAAATATACATGTCTAATATCCGGAGAGATGAAATTCCAGAGGGAGACAGTTTGGTTTACAAAGGATTTGTCAAATGCAGCAATTCGGTGAGGAGGAGGATAGTGGTCTGAAGTACAGGATCTAGTGGGACGTGATCGAATGGAGTATTTAAATTGTAGGCTGTGAAAAATATAGGAGGGTCACTGAGTTCTGATGGCCTAGTATAGAACAGTAGCAAGGAAGTACATATGGCAGTTGTATGAATAATGCCACTTCAACTCATTGTAATACTGGGTTATATGCGTATCTTTTGAGATTCTGAAAACAAAACATATTGGGAAATTCATTAAGTGTTTAATTCTGACTTCGAATTCTCCTGAGAGTCCACTGTACACCAAACAGACATAGTGCAACAGGAAATTTGGGAGATGTGGTTTCCAGGAGAAGGTTTGATTAAAAATAACACCAAGGTTTTTTACGGAAGTATGGAATGAGATAGGAGAGTTGTCAAGAGAAGATTGAGAAGTATCGGTAAGGATTTGAGGATTGAAGAAGATCCAATTAGGATGGATTTTGTTTTCTTGATTCGTTTTTATAAGTTTAAAGTAATCCGATTGCGGTTTGCCCAAGTACAAACTCTGTTTATATCTTCCTGTAGTTTTTTAATGGCACCTTAGGAATCGGTCAGATTAAAGGAGAGGTAAATCTGGACGTTTTCGCCATACAGATGGTATTAACAGTGAAGGATAGAGGATTGGAGGTCATTGATGTAGATGGAAAAAAGAGTGGGATATAAGGAGGAGCCTTGAAGGATGCTTCTGGACAAGGGTAAAGATTCTGATGTTATTAGGGGTTATTAGGGACTACAACGTACGGGAATGACCAGTAAGGGAGGATTGGAACCACTAAAGGGCACTAGTAGAAAAGGAGATATTTTAAAGCTTGGTTAGGATGATTTTGTGGTCTACTAAGTCAAAGGCTTTGGAGAAGTCAAGGAGAATAAGGTTGGTGCGTTTCTACTGGTCCATGGCTGTATGAAGTTCCTGAGAAATTTTGATGAGGGCAAACTGAGTGGAGTAGCCAGGTCCGGAAACCAGACTGGTAGGAATTTAGGAAGTTATTCTGTTCTAAAAAGTGGGATAACTGGGTTTGAACTAGTCGCTGGAAAGGTTGGAGAGGAAAGAAATTGGACGGAAATCATTAATAGCTGATGGATTGGAATTCTTCTTCAAGGGGCGAACTAGTGTGGTTTTCTAGAATGTAGGAAAGGTAGCGTTTTGCAGTGAATAATTGTAGATATGGTAGAGGATTGCAAGAATGGATGGTAATGAGGCTTGAAGCAGTCTGACTGGGATGTTATCAGGTCTATAATTATTGTCATGGGGTTTTTGAATGGAGTTTAGGAGGTCATCAGGGCTAATGTGAGAAAAAAAGAAGTGATCATAAATGTGTCCACTGCTGAAAAAAAGGTTGGGAATCCCTACCCTATAGCATGTTTTAATTAATAAGTTTCATTAATATTCATGCTTTAATAAATCAGACTATATAAAAATTTAATTTACTAACTTTGAAAACAATATTTTTATTTAATTTTTCAGGATAGAGTCAAGGCTGCTTTACAGAAAGAGGCAGAAGAAGAGATGATGCCACATAAGAGGAAAAAGAGAAAACTGGATTCTAATGGTGTGGAGAGTGAGGAACCAGAAGTTATTAATGAACCTGAGAAGGAAGTTAAACCCGATAAAGCTGAAACTAAACCTAAACGTAAAATTGTTGCTCCACCTCCCTTAAAATTTGATCAACTTCTACAGATTGCAGAGAAAAAACAGTTTGAACCGATAATAATTGATGAAAGTAAATTAAAAAAAGAACCGGAAAGGCTTATGACTAAAAAAGAAAAAATGGAATATGAAAGAGATGAGGTTAGAAAACATATTAAAAAGAAAAATCCTAATGGGGTTTCTAATGGCATTAAAGATAGTGATGCTAAACATAAAGATGGCAAAGAAAAAGATAGCAGAGATAAAGAGAGCAAAGATAAAGATAGTAAAGATAAAGATAGCAAAGATAAAGATAAAAAAGAAACACATCTTAAAAAAGGAATAAAGAGTTCTTCAGAACAGTCGGATAAGAATTTGAATAATCATGACCGAACAGTTAAAAATGACTTAGACAGTAAGAAAGATATCAGGCCAAAATTAGATTCTCAAAAAAATGCTCAAAATGTGAAAGATAAATTAACCAGTGACCAACTTATGGAACGTTTAAAAAAAAATCCGTCTGTATGGGCTAAAAATTTATCTAGCCAGAATATTAAATTACAAGAGAAAAAGAAAATCAGTGATTCCAATAAGCCTAAAATTTTACATAATGGAGTTCATGTAAAGAATGGTTTAAAGCCTATCTTAAAAAATAATTTAGATTCTACTAAAAACAGTAAAGTTAAAGAAGTAGCCTTTAAAGAGAAGGAGTTATCTGATATTGATAAGCAATTGGAATTACTCAAATTGAAAAAAGAAATGTTAGCTGAAAAAACTAGATTGAAGAAAATGGAGTTATTAAAAATGAAATATGCCTCAAGCAAGGGAAAAAAGATATCTCAGGAAAGGAAGCCAGTTCAATCAAAAAGTGAGTATTTGTGCATTTTTTAAAAATTAAATAAATTCATTATCGCTTTAAATAATCGAGCTCATTAATTATTAAGAAAGTTAGTATACTTATTTTGAATAATTTGATATTGCATATTTTGTTTTGTTAAGCTAATTTAATATATTGTGTTCAAGGACGCATTGGTTCAGATTCAGAAGAAGAAGACTCAGAATTGGAAGATTTTATTGACGATGATACAGTTGAAGATGGTTCCGATTATTCAAAATATATAAGTGAAATTTTTGGTTATGACAAGTCTAAGTGAGTAGAAAGTCACAATTTTCTAATAATCATATATATTTTTCTTTTAATATTCTAGGTTGTTGTAGAAGTTTTTATGCATCAAATAAGGTCTATTTAAATTTCAGTATAAAATCTATTCATTAAAATTATTCAAAATATAGGCCTTCATCGGCAATTACTTTAGTGCATCATTGTGCCTGAAGTTAAATTTAGTGTTGATACCAGCTCTTGGTTGTGGAGTTGAAAAACACCTCACATTTATCTTTGACATCCTTGTTATTCTTCAACTACCAGCCTGTGAGGAAAAGTGCTATTGACTGAAAAAGTCTATAGTAAGATGTTGCAATTGTATGGAGGATGGAGAAAGTTGTTATCTCCCTCCATTTTTGAGAATTTTCTTTTTACTATTTGTGAATAATGGACAGGAGTGTTGTCTTGTTTGGATATACCTTTATCCTTATTGATAAAAACATGTGAGCCATATTCAGTTTTTACTTTCACTTACCTATATTTGAAATATATAATAAAGGAAAATATTGCGATCGTGAAAGTTTTCAAATCTCAGTTTTCAATGGAAATAGAGGTTTTGAGTCCAAATAACCAAATCCCGCAAAATGGTCTGTGTGTATGTATGTGTATGTTAACAGTTTAGCTCGAAAACGAAAAGTCGTACGAAAGTGAAATTGCATATTTAAGGATTTTATATGCAAGGGATGTTACAGCAACGTTTTCGTTAAAATCTGCTAACTGGAATTGGCACTTTATATAATGGACTAAACACATTTTTACGATTTTCTCTAAAATGGCTCTAACAATTTTGATCAATTTCATCATATCAGTGTAAAATTAAGCAGTTTAAAATAAAATGTTTTTATTTTGATTGATGTTCTTTAACAGAGCTTAAATGGCTAATTTTCAATATTAGCTTTCCCTACAGTGCCTTTAATTTTTTTTTATTTGAAAAAATTGACCATTTCACATTAATCTCTATTATAAAAGATAGTTAAATATAAAATATGAAAGAATTTGATAATTAACTAAAAGAGAAATAAAAGATCGTACAGGAGAATAGTTATATTTGAGGAACCAAAGGAATCTGTGTTTGCCCGAAAGATTAGAACATGTTTCATGAATAAAGAAATTATCATATCGTGGAGCAGAATATTGTTGACACCTTAATCAATCGGGAACTGAGACAAAAATTTATATGAATAAGCGAATGGAGACCAGGTCTAATGCCCAAACAATGGAATGATTCTGTATTGATTCCAATGCATGAAAAGTGACTGAGAACGGATTGTAATTATTATCAGGGAATCTCATTTCTTCTAATCTGTTATTAAATTACAACTAGTCAAATCATGGAATATGTTGAAGAAGTTATTGTAAGTTATAAATGTGGTATTCTACGATAGGGTTTATACATTGATCAAACATTTTCCTTACAGCAATTATTATTAACAAATTTGGTACTAAGATATAATTTGCAAACTTTATATCAATTTTAAAAAGGATTACGATGCTGTCGACTGCCTGAAGCTGTGTAATATTTTGACTGAATAAGGAATATCAGAAAAGTTAGTTGATCTATTTAGGATATCCAAAACATTTAGTAAAGTTAGAATCAGTAATTTTTATTCTGAAAAGTTTGAAGTCTGTCCAGGTTTTATAACAATGAGACTCACTTTCCTCAGTTTTGTTTTATTTAACCTTGTGGTATATAATAGGTGATAAGCACCAAGAAAGATTTAACAACAAGTAGTAAAATACCTGTGGTCATGATGATGATTGGTGCTGTTTGGCAAAGATCCCAATTTTTTATTTATATACTGCTAAAAGGAAGTATATAAATTACATTTTGGAGACCTGATTTTATTTGTCTTTAATAATTAAAAAAACAATAATTTAAATAATAAAATGTATTGGTGTATGCAGAGTAATCAACATTTTCAGTTGGTTTTGTGTGATGAATTAATTGTATAACCTGGAGATGGTCCTTGTAAAATCGTATGCATTTATTAATATTTTTGCTCTTGTTTTATTAAATATTTCAATTAAATTTATTTATTATTCCTATTATTTTGTTGTTTCAATTCTATTGTATTAATTAAATAATTAATATCTTCTACTATTTCTTTAACCCAACTAAACAGTTAAACACTAGTGAACAATAATATATTATATGGCTCTACAACCCATAGGCTGCCCACCCTTGATCCCGGCCTGCTTCATCATTGTCCAAGTATCGACAATGCATCGGTAGCAACACACTCTTCCTATCAGAGCCTAGGGCGTCCAACTTTCCGTGCTCCAAATACCTTCTCGGATAGGACCTTAGATGGAATTTCCTCTGGGTTCATCCTAGTGACGTTGCCTGCCCATCGCAATCACAGGAATTTAGTAACATTGACTAAGTCTAAGTCGCTATATAGACTTCTCAACTCCTGATTAGTTCTTCTTCTCCAGTCTCCGTTAATACATGCAGCCCCACAAATTCTCCTCACAATCTTTCGTTCAAACCTGGACAGTTCCAGTTCCTGAATCCTTGTGAATGTCTAAGTTTCGGTGCCGTATGTTAAGACTGGTCGAATCAGAGTTTTAAATATTCTGACCTTTAAGGATTTTGATAAGTTCCTAGACTGGAGTTGCTTTTGAAGTGCGAAGGAACACCGGTTAGCAGCCATAATACGTCTGTCTATCTTTTCCCCAATATCATTCCGGAAGTTTATTTGGGAGCCTAAGCAGACCAATTCTCTATTTGTGTTCCACTTCTATTTTGTGTGAATCCAATTGAACAAAGCCGGATATCATGAATTGGGTTTGAATACATATACTTGTTTTATCTGTGTTTATTAGGAGTCCCATACATGCTGCTGCTACTCCCAGAGCTTCAAAAGCCTCCCTGACTACCTCCAGTGTCCTTCCACTAAGGTCCAAATCATCCGCATATTCAAGCACATGAACAAGTCTGCTTAGAAGTATCCCTGTGGTCTGAATACCTGAGTTCTTCACGGCTGTCTCAAGGGCCAAATTAAATATAAGACAGGCCAAACCATCACCCTGACAGATTCCAGTCCCTGTATTGAAGCTTTTTGAGAGATCTCCGAACATTCGCACACAGCACTGGTTACCCTCCGTTGTCATACCTATAAGTCTTACCAGTTTTGGAGGTATCTGCATATCGATCATAGCCTTGTAGACTTCATTCCTGTTTACAGAGTCATATGCTTGCTGGAAGTCCACAAATACATGATGAGTGCTAATTCCATACTCTCTGGTTTTCTCAAGAAGCAAACGGAGAGTGAGAATTTGATCCGTCGTGCTGCACAATGCAGCAAAGTTGATGAGTCCCTTCCCATTATCGTTTGATGATTTGTGCAAGCTGTGTCCTCCAATTATAGGTCGGTATGCAGCTTCTCTCCCAACCTGTGCATTATAGTCACTGACGAGAAGCTTATGGTCATAAATCATTCATCATTGCATTTTTCAAGTTCCTTGTAGAATGTTCTTCCTCCTCTGAGACTTCTATGGGAGCATGAGAACATATGATGGAGTAGTTGTGGTATTTGCCTTTAATTCTAATCACACATAGCCTTGGGTTAATTAGCTTGAACCCAATCACTAGGTCTGAGAATTTCTTGCCAATGATGAATCCAGTCCCAAATGTGTGGAGCCTTTCGTCACAACTATAGTATATTGCATAGTGCTCTTTTTTAAAACTACCTTGTCCTGTCCACCTGGCTTCCTGAAAGGCTGCAATGTCTATTTTATAATTAGTTAGGTTTTTTTAGGAGTACCTCAAGTGCTCCAGGTCAGTTTAATGATAGTAAATTCCAAGATCTTATTGTGAAGTCCAGTTGACGTTTCCTGTGTTGTTTCCCATGGATCGGACCGGCTAATCTTTTTCTTCGATGAGCATTTTTGATATTGTAGTTTAGGAGAGGTGGGTTATCAGCCCACCTCTCCGAGTCAGATGATAGGGCTGCTCCCTTGGGGCCTCCTAACCTGCTTCCCCATCGGGTACGGCTACCTAGGTGAAGTGGTCCTAGGTTGTGTACTGTATGTGACCTTAGTCTGTAGTGTGGGGGTTCATGTAGTGTTCTGTATTTAGTGTACTCTGTGTGTGTGTTAGTGTTAGTGTCCCCCAACCTGGAGGGCCAGTGGCCGACTGCAATCAGTGAACAATAATAGTAACTTTTATACTGAGGGAAATAAAACGTATGCTTTTATATCTGAAGTTGAAGGCTCCAAAATGTGTTTTAAACTAAATGTACTTCCTACTTTAAAAGTTTAGAAAAAAAATCTGAAATAAATACGATTTAAAATATCACATAATTTTTTATCTCTAGATTTAGTAATTATTTACTAAAAATTGTAAATTATATTAGTTGATACTGATGATTATGGATGTTTTCTTCTTTATAAATATTTTATGATTAACACATTAACATCATTCAGTCTATGTTTCGAGTATATGCCTTATCTTCAAGATCTTTAATCAAACATCCATTACCCCCCCCTTTTTTTAAATAAATGCTTACAATATATTTTTATTTACAGATATTTAAATTATGAAGAGGATGACGATGATGAGTGCATGGAGTCAAATTTTGCTCAGCAAATGCGGGAGGAATATGTCAGTACTAAAATTGGTAAGTGGCCAATAGTTTAATTATTAAATAAATATATTATTAAAAAGGGAAACTAAACATACAACTTAACAAACTGTAATGGGATTAGTCCATTCAAATTAGGGATTGACCCCAACATTAAAAAAATAAAGATGAAACTTGTCAGAAATTGTTCATCACCTTCCTCATAATAACTGGTAAAAAGAACCAAAGATCCTGTGTTGGGTTTTGATGCTGGGGAGGTGGGGAAGGACAGGAAACTGGTATTTTTTTTAGTTTTTTGAGAATATCTCAAAAACTATGAGGTTTTTTTTCGAAGATAAAAATGATCCTATACATTTTTTTTGTCGATAAAATTAATGGTTACGGAGATATTAATGAGATAATATATATTGCAGTTCCACTTTAAGCGAAAATAGTAGACAATTCCTTTTTAAAGTGTAATTAGTTTTTTTTATCATTTTCTATTGTTCAAATTATTATTCAAACTTTCTTTCTCTTAATAATTCTTAAAAGTCATTGACAACGGAATTATATAAATTTTCTAATTTTTAAGCCAACCACGTATTGTGTTAAATAAAAAGCAATAACTAAAAGAATGTTTGATTCAGGTTACAACTGATTACTTCGTAGAAAAGTAGATTAAATTCAAGTAAATCTTATCTTTTTTAAAACCATTTAAAGGGAAACTACCGTAGAGTTCGGGTTTTTCATAAAACTAAGGGATCCTCGAGATTTATTTTGTAAACTCCCAACTGGACTGAAGATCCCACACTTTCAGAAAAACTTCCTTCTTTGATGAGATTTAAGTTTAAATTAGTAGTAAGTTATTATTAGTAAGTAGTGGTTTGTTAAATTTAAGTTTAGATTTATTCCTAATTGAGTAAAAAAAATTAAAAATTTTTGGGTCGATCCCTTATTTTACCGTACTAATAATATTTTTACTACATTAGAGAAAATGTGACTCGACTTAATTAATATTGACATAAAGCTCATAAAAAAGGAAGTTTTTTTTTTTTTTTCCGAAAGTGTGGTTTTTTTAGTCCAGTTGCGTGTTACAAAATTAATTCTTTATTTTATAAAAATCCGAACTTACCGCAGTTTAACTGCTTAAAAGTCCCCTTTATATGGTTTTAAAAAAGCTAAGATTTACTTACATTGAATGTTAATTTAATCTAGTTTACTTCTAAGTAATTGGTTGTAACCTAAATAAAACATTTTTTTAGTTATTGCTTTTTATTCAACATAAAACGTGGTTGGCTTAAAAATTACAAAATTTAAGTTTCCTGGTTTTCAGTATCTACTCTTACCATGGTTTATGGTAACTTTTTATAAGTTTTAATGTCTTCTATCACATATTATCAATTATATGAAATTAATGTAAATCTAAACTTCATATCATTATCACGAAATTCCCCATTGATTGATATTGAATATAATTCTGTTGTCAATGACTTTTAATAATCATTAAAAGAAAGAAACTTTGAATAATAATTTGAACAATCGAAAATGTTAAAAACTAATTAAACTTCAAAAATTTATCTTCTACTATGAACAACATCAATTTCATGCTTTGAAGCAACTTTTGCTTAAAGTGGAAATGCAACAAATATTATCTCATAAATAACTCTATTGATTTTATCAAAAAAATGTATAGATGCATTTTTATAGTACTTTAACATTGTACTGAACAATGTTTGGGAAAAACCTCCTAGTTTTTGATATATTCTCAAAAAAAAAAAAATATATCAGTTTCCTCTTCCTCCTCCCCTCCCTCAACCAAAACCCATCGCGGGATTCTTTGGGATATTTTACCACTTATTAAGGGGGGGGAGGGTAATGAACAATTTTTAGCAAGTTTCATCTTTATTTTTTGAATGTTGGGGTAAGGCTGTTTTCCCCCTAACTTTACTGGACTAGATAATTGAAAATTAGACAATTTTAGGTACATTTAACATGTGTATGTGTAATTAATTGTGTTTTAATATATTAGCAATCAAATTCAGGAATAAAAGAATTAAACAATATATCTAAATACATCAAATATGTATGTATATAGTCCAGTCAATGAATGATCAAAAAGGGGCTATAGAAGGAATGAATGGCGGGGACACAATTTTTAGCTTTGGGACATTGTTTGAACTAGTAAGAAGATAAACATACCCTCTCCTATTGGTAAGCCAGATGTGAGAATGATTATTAAATAAGATATTTTTTGCAATATTATTTTAGTTGCAATCCAGAAGGTCACTTTTTCAGGTTTTTTCTTTTATCAGAAAAACCATCCATCGCATCGACAAAGATGCTCTATACAAAATTAAAGCTGATAAAATTTGCAATATGATTGATTATATACCTTTTTTCACCATCTCGCTTAGTTTCCGAGATATCGGTCCTCAACTATCGCTCATGTTGAAAAAAAAAAATTTATCTCATGTTTTTTATTGTATTTGACTAGCTAACTCTTGATTGATTCTTTCTACAATTAAGTCGTGGAAAAGAAAGTTTTTACTAATTAAATTTTCTTAAAGAATATATTTTAGTACTTAAACATTGTACTTAACAATGTTTGGGAAAAACCTCATAGTTTTTGATATATTCTCAAAAAATTATCAGTTTCCTCTCCTTCCTCCCCTCCCAACACCAAAACCCGTCGCGGGATTCTTTGGGACTTTTTACCATTTATTAAGGGGTGGAGGGTAATGAACAATTTTTAGCAAGTTTCATATTAATTTTTTGAAACTAAGTGAGATAGCAAAACAGGGTGTGTTATCAATCATACTGCAAATTTTATCAGTTATAATTTTATATTGAACTTTTTTGTCGATGCGATGGATAGTTTTCCTGATGTAAGCGAAAACCCGAAAAACAGCAATAAACATCAGACAAATTTCTTTTTTTCAAAATTAGCCATAGTTGAGGACGGATATCTGGGAAACTAAGCGAGGCAGTGAACAAATTTACATAATCCGTTATATTGCATATTTTATCAGCTTTAATTTTGTATAGATGGAGTGGGGTAGCTCAGTGGTAGGGCACTGAGCTTCCAATGCAAAGGTCCCAGGTTGGAACCCCGGCTCATGGCAGAAAATTTATTTATCTGTTTCATTGGTCGTGGGGCGACCCTGGGTCAGAAGACCCTCCTGGGGCACACCCAGCCTCTATAAAGTGGACACCCTTAATTAAAAAATTAATTAAGGGGGAAAACCTGACGGTTGAGCGTGATCTCGGTCAAATCACCTCCTTGCACAACCGTTGACCTAGAAACAGTGCTTTCCCTAAATAGTACTGAACCCCAGACCCTTTATGGGTTGTAATTGTACAGGTTTAATTTTGTATAGAACGTCTTTGTCGATGCGATGGATAGTTTTCCTGATATTAGCGAAAACCCCCAAAAAATGACCTTATGGGCGCCTCTCCCCCCACATCTAGCTCACCACGTAGGAGTGGGGACTTTTTGTATGTTTACCTCCTTACTACTAGTCCAAACAATGTCCTAAAATCAAAAATTGTGTCCCTGCTATTTCATTCTATAATCATTCATTGACTAGACTAATATAGCTGTTATCCACCGATTCGCTCACAAATATTTCTTTTCTGTCATTACAATTAAATTTTCATTGATTAGGTTCTTAAGTTTATGATAAAATAAAAACCTATAATGCTTATAAAACTTGAGTTAACCGAATTTAAGGAAAACATTGAATCAACAAGTCAGTGGTGAAAGCAACTTACTTTTATACAGGGTGTTTCAGTTCTTAATGACCAAACTCTGGAAGATGATTCTATACAAAATTTCCAATAAAAAAGTTTGTTTGTTGCATTGGCCGATTCCAAACGGAAAAGAAGTTAAGACTCATTTTGTTTGGTCACGTTATTTATTGAATAAGAAGGAATTGCTCAAAAACCGTTCAAGATAATTCAATTTTAAGTACACCATCGTAAAGTAGACAAAATCTTTTTGAGAAGACAGTGATTAAATTTCCTAAGGTCAACGATAAAATGGACTTTCAGAAGGTCTAATTCAGCCGTTGTACTGCTGCAGTTATAGTACTCATACCTGAGCAGTATATCTCTGTCATCCAGATCCGCGAAATAATTGACCGTAATGGTAGGCTTTACGTTATTATTCCTCCTGAAAGTCCCTTTTATTTTTGACCTTAGTAAATTTAATCCGTTTTTTCAAAAGAAAATTTTGTCTACTTTACAATGGTGTACTTAGAATTTAATTATCTTGAACAATTTTTGTGGAATTCCTTCGTATTCAATAAAAAACGTGACCACTTTAAGAAAAACAGAAAATTGGTCTTATCTCCTTTTCTGTTCAGAATCGGCCCATGTATGAGATGAATTTTGTCCTCCTTCCTCCCCAGAATTTGGAAAACCTTGTATATAAAGATATAAGCAGGTAATAAAGAAACGTGTGAAGTTCGATTCAATTTAAACTTTGCCGTATCCTTGCTAATAATTCTCAAATTTGGATGATTATTTTTGAATTTGGAGACGTTTTCATTAGCTATCAAATAAGTACTCATAGTTTCCTGGGAAACATATAGTTTTTGATTTATTCTGAGAAAAACAATTTTTATTTTTAGGATTTAAAAGTAATTTTTTAACCACTTAGGAGTCAATTTTTTTTTCCAAATCTAGCCGTATTGCACATCTGTAGCATTAACAACCAATTAAAATTTCAACTTCATAGGGCTTATGAGTTTTGAAATACAGTGATAAATAAATAAGTGTGTGAAATGCACCTTTCTTATATATATTGGATATATCCGTTATCACTAAAATATCATGGGGGACCACCAAGCTGGATTCAAAAGAGAAAAGATCATCTAGACCAAAAACTATCAAACCAAGAAATTTCTTTCTTTTAGTTATTTTTTCTCTTTTCTCCATAAAGTCCACGAGGTTACGTTTTTTGGAGTTTCAAACTTCTGCAATTATTGTTTTGGTGTTTTGCCAGTGAAATATTTTTCTCATCAAAATGAAGCTAATATTTAATCTTTTATGAAGATGAAAGAGTTTAGAGAGAAATATACACAATTTGTGACCTAATTGGAAACCATTGTTTCAGGGATCAAGAAATAATACCCATTTATTAGTCAAATATAAAATCTTTACATAATAATGATGGTCAATAGTCTTTTTGGTGTTTATATCACATAAATAATTAAGCATATGGCACATACTGTGATGAGTTTTAGCATTATTAAATAGTGATGTTAAACTAAAAATTCTATAATATTTAGATTATTGTTAACTATTTTTTTGTGACCTACTTCGTATAGTATGGTAATGATGGAAAGCATGTTGTGGCATGAGTCCCAGGGTGTTGGGTTGGGGCTTATGTGAGTGTAATTTCTATATGAAACAGGTAATAATTATTTTATAGTTAGTTTTGTGTTCATATTCACCCCAGAAAAGGATAGCTGTACCTTTAAATCCTACTTCTCATCGTTCCTACCAAGGAAATGAATTCTCCAATTATTATCGAGTTGAGGATGGTGTTCCACAAGGCAGTGTCCTGGCCCCAATTTTCTACATCCTCTTTACCGCTGACATTCTAACGAATCCTGATATCCTTCTAGTAAGATACCGCCGTCCTATCACAAAGACACTTCTCCCTAATGGAGCAGTGGTGCAACAATTGGCACATCAACAAATCCAAATGCTAGCATGTCATCTTTACCCTCTGACACAGATCCAGTCCACCAATTCTTTTCAAATCTGTACCTCTTCTCATCTTTATCTGTTCCCAGACATCGTTCAGTATGTTGGAATCGTTTAGACAAAAGACTAACATAGAACCTTCATACCAGAGTTAATAGACCAGAACTTGACTGATGATTTGGCTAGTTATATAGACTACGTAACAGAAACTCTTATTACTCCATTGAAAACAAGTAATTGATATACAAGGCCATACTGAAATCTGTCTGGTCCTACATACTTGAACTGTGGGAAACAGCTAAATTTTCAAATATCAAACATATCCAATCCTTCCAGTTTAAAGTCCTTCATACAATAGTCAACGTTCCTTATTATTTTAAAAACAGAACTTTATATCATGACCATAACATCTCTTATTTGACTTCTTGTCATTATTCCATCCTGATACTCAAATTTTCATTAGAACCTTTTCCATCATCCTAATCCCTTAGCACAATCCTTATTCAGCTCCTACTATCCTCCTCAAAAGTTGAAATGACAGTGGTCCGGAGATCTTTTGTAAATATGTCATTGAAGCTCTGGCAATGGCCAGCTTCTTCGCTCAAGTCATGAGCGTATGTTGCTCTAGTGCCCTCTCTCAGTCTCTGTTGGACTCCCATATCGGTGAAATAGGTGTGAGAAGAATCTCTTAGAGTTTTGCCTTGTCCTCCACACGTGGGGGAAAGGGTTGTACTCGGTGTTTTTGCTACAATTTACTTTTTTTTCTTTTTCGTATTGTATATATGGTATGAATGTTGTTCATAGAGCTCTAATACATAATGATCTTAATTGTGGAAAAATGTATTATTTCTGAATAAAATTATTATTATTCAAAATAAAAAAAAAATAAAAAAATTATGGCGAGCGATATTTATAACAATAAGATGTTGGCAAAAAAGGCCAAGAGGTCCACTTGCCTGGATAGTTCTATCACCATACTGATGTAATTGTTTTAATAATTATAATTTTTTATTTTATTTTGAGTAAGCAGTATTTCATATTTTGTTTCAGGTATAATGGAAGATTTAGAGGATATTAGAAAAGAGCAAGAGGAAAAGGCTAGGAAAAAACAAAAACTGAAAAAAAAATAAGTAATCCCTTAAAAATATTTTAATTTTAAGTTGATAAAATTACCTTATTCTTTTGTAAATAGTTTTATTTAATGTTGGTTTGTTTTTAGATGTTATTCATTAAGGAAAATAAAAAGATTATTTTATTTTTGTTATTGTATGTATATTATTACAATATAAATGAATTGTTCAAATATTTATTTCTTTTTAAAACTTTTATATTGAAAATTTGTGATATTATTTATAATACATATTTTTTTCTTATTTGTTCTTATGAAATGTGCCTTTTACAAAACAAGAGAAAGTAAAATGACATAATTGTAGTTCCCGATTTGTACCTAAACTCTGATGATCTTGTTAATTATAATAAACATGATGATTCCTAGTTGTAACACCTACAAAAATAAATTGTAAAGGTATCCATATTGGGTGATAATTCTTCTGTCAGTTATCCAGAAGTTTACATATGTTCAGTTGCAAGTGTCAATTTTTGATTTGTTATAAAAATAGATTAGAGAATAATTAATTAAAAAAGAAGATAAATAATTAACAAAAGAATAATAATTAAATTTTGCAATAAAAACAAAACGAAATGTAACAGAGTTTTAGAAATATTGAATGTTGTTTTTGGAGAGTTTGCTACGATAGCCCTGGAGCCAGGGTCCAAAAGTCGATGGCTTCACCATGAAAGCTTTATATATATATATATATATATATATATATATAATGACAGTTACTTTGGAAAAAAATAAGTTACTAAATACCTAATGAAATGGTATTTAACTGATTCTTGAGTTCCTATTAAATGTAATTACACGAACAATTATACCGTAAGAGATAATTTTTTAATATTTTTCACCCTAAACATGGATACATTTTACCATTTTGGGGGGAAATTCTGCCTGAAAGCCCTCCTCCTTCTCAGTAGACCCGCCTGTGCTTGTCTGCCATTCCAGAGCTGCTGCTTTGAAAATTGATGGCTGATTTAAAGAACGTTAGACTATTAACTTGATTAAAAATTACTATAAATGATCCTGTAGCTTGGAAATGAGTTCCCTAAGAGGAAAAATCTGTAGAATCAAAGTAGTATAACATCAAACTTTGCATCCACTGAGTATTAACAGTTTTAATGTAGAGCACTTACTCCGAACTTAATCGGTAATCTCCAGATGTCAAGAAATAGGTAATGAAGGTATGTGAGATTTTCAATATTTCAACAGTATAGGTTTCTATTATACTGAGTTACTTTTGCTCCAAGTCTATTACATGTAGTATAAGTCTCTTTTTCACCTTTCCAGAGCCAAGGATTTTGAGAAACTATGTGTCGAAAGAAACCGAATTTCATGAAAAATAATGAATCCCGATTCAAGATATATAATTGACCTACATAAAAATTGTTAGTACTCATTAGATGCAAAATTTGATGCTCTACAACTTTGATTTTATGAGTTTTTCTTCTTATGGTACTCATTTTCAAGCCACAGGGCCGTTTATAGTAATTTGTCTCATTGTTTTGCAATTTTGATAAAAATCAATGTTGGTTGACCGTAGTTTTTCTACCGTATCGCATAACTAAATTATTAAGTTTAGGTACTGGAATGACGCAAAATTTAACGTTCTTTAATTTCTTTAATAGTAATCTTTTCACTTTGATTCATCGTTTAGAAGTTTTCTTCTTCTTCTTTCTCTTCCTCCTCAGTGCCTTTCAGCGTGGAGGTGCTTCTGTCCAGGCAAACCAAGCTTCTCAGTCTCCCGCCAGCACCCTCATGGCTTCCCAGTTTTTTCCTGTTCTCTCTCCCACTTAGGAGATGTTGTATTTCCATTGTATTCTGAATCTCCCTCTTGGGCGTTTTCCTGTTGGTCTGGCCCCAAAATATTTTGTTGGTCCCCTTTCTTCACTCATTTGACAGAGATGTCCAAACCATCTGAATTGTCTCTTTTCAATGGTATCCTTTAAAACGACAATTCCAACATCCTATCTTGTCCTCTCATTCAGTATGTGCGATCCCTCCTAGTTCGGCCTGACACTCTCCGAAGGTATCTCATTTCCATTGCAGTAACTCTGCTTAGGTGCTTATCTAATGGTACCCAACTTTCACTTCCAGATTTTCAAAAAGACAGATTCTTTCAAAGAGCCTTCAGACGTTCAAAAAGGCAGATTTTTTTTATGTAAAAAGTTTTCCCTTGGTGGCCCGCATTAGCGATAATCCCCACCTCTACCCATCTCCTCCCACTCCTTAGCTGAGTTTAGTCGCTCAAATGTACACTTTAAATGATTTTTACAAAAGCAAACTATATTTTTATTTAAAGTAAATTTTGTCTAATTTACAGCGAAGTTTTTTTGTTATCACTTTCTATTCAAGAAAAAATGTGACATAAAAAATCACAAAACTTTAATTCTCTACTTTCCTTCTAAAAATCGAACCATTGTTTATATAAACTTTTTTGTATTTATCGATTTTTGCTATCACTCCTTTAAATATTTCGCTCTACTTACGAGAGACTCTATATATGGGTTTAGACATGTAAAAAACTAAATTGCTAACACGGGTCAACAAGACAAAACTTTTACAGCCAAAAATTCCAGATTTATCTGACTTTTTTTTCATGTGTAACTACTAAAGTGCATCAAAGCGAAAAACGTACTCTTTAAGAAATTAAAGAACCTCAAATTATGCGTCGAACGAGTACCTAAACTTAATAATTTGATTAAGTGAAATGGTCGAAAACCACGGTCGATGAACGCTAATTTTTACTGATATTGTCAAAATCTGAGAAGGATTACTATAAATGGCCCTGCAGCTTGGTAATGAGTTCTCTAAGCAAAAAAATAAAATAAAAAAAAAAACAGAAAAATTTCCGATTCCGATCAAATCGGAGACCAAATAATACATACATAGTACATTCCTTCATGAAAACGTTCCCAACAGCAGTTATTTTAATAAAAGAACAAAATTTTCTAATGAGAAAAATACAAATTATTATCCTAACCAGTTTTATGAATCGCATGGATTCTTCAAGACTATAGTTGCTGAAGGTTGCAATGCGTCCAGAGCTATTGGAACTAATTAAAAACTGGGTCCGGAAGAAAACCTGTATTTTCTTGTGCTCAAATAAAAGGTAGTTCTAAAGAATAAATGAATTTTATTTTTTATTTTTTTTTTTTTTAGTAACTTTCCCTCTATCATGTATTTCAGCTGCGAGACTCAGTTCGGAGTCAATAGGAACAAACTGCGAAAGGACCAGAAGCCTTCCCATCTCACGGCGGCCCCAAAACTCTTTTTTTAAATAGCTGTTTTTTTGGATCTTTTTTTCTGCAATTTTTTTTCTAACATCCAGAGAGGGACGCGCCCCATGGCAGAATTAACTAGTGCTGGTCACTATAATATTTTTTTTTTATATTACGTTAGGAAATTCGTGTATGAGGATGATTTTTTCCTATATTTCTTTTTTCTTTAAAGAGGTGTTCTTTTTCGGAATTTTTTTCAACCATCCAAGGGAGAGCGCGCCCCCTGGCAGAATTCGCTAGTACTGGTGACGATAGTGCTGGTCACTATAATATATTTTTTTTATATTACGTTAGGAAATTCGTGTATGAGGATGATTTTTTCCTATATTTCTTTTTTCTTTAAAGAGGTGTTCTTTTTCGGAATTTTTTTCAACCATCCAAGGGAGAGCGCGCCCCCTGGCAGAATTCGCTAGTACTGGTGACGATAGTGCTGGTCACTATAATATATTTTTTTTATATTACGTTAGGAAATTCGTGTATGAGGATGAATTTTCCCTACATTTCTCTTTTCTTTAAATAGGTGTTTTTTGTCACTTTTTCCCTCCATCCAAGAGAAGGAATGTCCCTGGTAGAATTCGCTAGTGCTGGTCACGATCATTTTTTTTATATTACATTAGGAAATTCATCGTTTATGAGGATGGATTTTCCCTATATTTCTCCAGGATGGCGACCGACCTGGAAAACCTGGAAAAGTCAGGGAATTTTCAAAACCTGGAAAAGTCAGGGAAAATTGTCAAAGTCAGGGAATTTTTTTTAATTCGAAAATATTCTTTTTAAATTGGAATTCATCCACAGTGGATTAATATAACGACCTTAAGAGACCTGGTAAATTTCGTTGTTATAACGTATAATTGTCATAGACGACCTTATAATTGTCATAGACGACCCTATAATTGTCATAGACGACCGGACCATCTTTATATTTATATCGTTATATAACCTATATCTATCTACTTGTCACTGTCAATAACGGCCCTGGCCGTTATATTGTAATTAAACAAGGGTAATGAATAAAATGTAAGCCAAATGGAGTTAAAACAGTGCTTTTTAAAAAAGAAAAATATAACAATACTATTTACTAACAGTAAGTATACTTCTATTCGTTGGTTAACTAAAGAAGAATGATGGCATAATTTATGCTTAGGTAGAGTCGTAACTTGCGAATGAGCAAAATGTCGTTGGACCGCTCGGACTTTAAAACGCATTTTGGTCCTTAATTTTGTGATAATTGTTATGCATAATAATAATAATAATAAAAGGCTAAGCGAACCCGAAGGTTCGATGCCGACACCACCAATCGCTTATTACAAATTGTTATGCATATCAACAGAATATATAAAAGCTATATAATATGCTTATACATCCTAGTTGCATTATAAAATAGTTAAATTAACCGAAAATAAAGCATTGAAAAGATAAAAAGCACTTAGTTTGTGAACGACAGATACTACAAGTGAAATACGACTTCGATTCTCTGAGCTTCAACAGCCGTTTAATTTTCTTACATATTAACGTATCTGTATGAGGTATATCATAATCATCATATGTGGCGCGACACCCCGTTACCGAAACTGGGCCTCCTCCAAGAGCCTCCGCCAGTTGGCTCTGTCTTCTGCTGCAGCTCTCCAGTTCCGTACACCAAGCAGGGTTCTCGCATCATAGGCCACGTTGACCAACCATCTCGTCCTCGGCGTTCCTACCCGTCTTGTGAGGTGCAGCTCCTCCATCATTATTCTCTTGGGTATATCAAAGGCGCTCATTCTGGCCACATGCCCTGCCCACCTTAGTCTGGCAGGTTTAATATACGTGACTACGTCGATGTCTGTATAAAGAGAACTGAGCTCCCTATTTTTTCTTTTCCTCCAGACATCACCCTCCTTTACTGGACCATAAATACT